GGGGAACCGAATTCTGAGCATCAAAATGTAATTTTTTTTGTTTTTTCAACTCAGAATTCGGTTCCCGGGGAACCGAATTCTGAGTTGGTTTTAATTTTTTTTTTTTTCGTGTATGGGGAAAATGTGGGCTGATGTGGGAAGCGGAACGGCCCGTTCCAAAATCAAAACGGACCGTTCTGCTTAAAGAAACAGAGTGCAAATTCTTTAAGCAGAACGGGCCGTTTCACATTCAGAATTTGCACTCTGTTTCTTTAAGCAGAACGGCCCGTTCTGCTTTTGGAACGGGCCGTTCCACTTCCCACATCAGCCCACAGTGATCATTCTTGTAATTTTTTTTTAAAAAAATATTATTCCAGTAAAAAATTCTCACTATCTTTCCCTTAATCCAAACAACCTCAATTTCCAATCTCTTTCTCTTCAAATCTTTCCTTTTCCACTCCCCCAAATCCATCCTTCAATCCAAACACAACCTTAGTTTTCCAACACAAAAGAATATTTTATTATTATTAATTAGAATAGATTTTTTTTTCATAATTATATTCATCCTTATTTTTAAAATAAATAGTCTTTAAATATATTTTAAATTCTTATAAATATAATTTTTCTTGTTTTGTTCCTTATAAAGAAAATTATAATTTTTAGATTTTTAACTTTTTTCCTGTTGTTCTTTTAATTCTTATCATCAATAACTCTAATTAGTTTCGTGTTATAGTTAAAAATAATAGTATTAATTAAAATAAAAATAAAAAATATAATATGAAATTAAATTACAACCATATTAATTTTAGTTGTCATATACAGAATAATTATAAAAATATATTTTTAAAAACAATATATAATATTTTTAGCGTTATAAACTCATATATAAATATTTTTCATTATTTAAAATTTCTGAATTATTTTTAGTAAAAGATGGAGTGTCTAATTTTTTCTAATGAGAAATTAAAATTGAAAATAAGGAAATATTTGATAAAATAGAATTACACATCTCGAAAATTATGATCTTTTTAGAATTATAAATCTTGGGAATCATAATTCATGAGAATAACTAAAATATGTTTGGTTACTCATAAAAGTTATTAGGAATATTCATACATGATTCTTGAAAATTAAAGATTTTCATGTTTGATTACAATAATATATTTCTGGATATAGAAATATTTTTTTACAAAAGTATCATTTATTAAAATAAATTTATTATATATTTATTTACTTAAATTTTATTATAAATATGATATTAAATTATTTAAAATTTTATAAAAATTATTTATATTCAAAATTCAAACAAATAAATATTATTAAATATATATATATAATATATTATAATATTATTATTAAAGTTAATAAGATTAATAAATAATAAAATACAAGAAAGAGAAAGAAAAATAAAGATATGAAAGAGAGAGAAAGAATCACAAGAACAACAAGGAAAGAGAGAGAGAAAAATACCAAAGAAGAGAAGAAGAGTAAAAGAAAGAAAGAGTATTAAAGAGATAAGTAAAATGAGAGAGTGAGAGTGTGAGAGGGGGAAAGAAGAAATATAAAAAAGATAAATATTTTTTATTTTAAAAAAATATTATGATTTATACATATATATAATTTTTCTTTTAATTCCAAAAAATTAAATTTATCTTTTCAAAATAATTTTGTGAAAAAATATGATAAAAATAATTTTTAAAAAATTATATTTTTAAAATCTCTATTTTTTAAAATAACTATAAAATATGAGAAGGAAATATTCTTATTTTAAAATTTCCAAGAATTGTAAAAGTATTCCGTGTATTACGCAGTAGAACGAGAGAAGTAAGGAAGTATTTATAAATGACGGAAAGGCAAAAGAAAGAGGAAGTTGTGGGATAATGATTACGTAAACAAACATTTAATGCATGACATGAGAACCCAACCCAAGACTCACTCTCCGCCGAAGAAGATCCATTCACAGACCCAAGATAGGATATTTATATTATCATCCTCTCACGCCCAAAATTCACACCCCTATTTCTCACGATCCTTTTTTATGCAAGAAAACTAGTTTTGATTTTCGCAATGTCTTTTTCCAATTTCATCCTTCAAGGTTAATTTTTCTAAGATAATCGATATTCGAAGAAGAATTTTGTGAAGAAAAAAAATGCACAAAATATTATATAATAATTGAATTGAAAAAATGCTAACGAAATGTGTATAGAAAATGGTTGAATATAGAATTAATAAACTACTCTTAGTAAACATTAATTATATACTTCCAAACGTATGGTTTAGTGTATTTAATATATTATTTTATTTTACAGAGAAAATTATTGTAAATCTTGATTTCGAAGTGATGTGGAACATGGATGAGAAAGGCGTCATGATTACATGGTTTTGGTAGCAGAAAATTCAGAGTAATCAACTATGAAATACTATTGAGATTTGAGATTGAAAAGTGAAGTTGTACGCGACGGCTCTTTGGGATGCACGGTACTTTACTTTGTCTTATCAGCATAATAACTTGCAGTACTTTCCATATCAAACCAAACACAACTCATACTACTTCTAATAAATAGCTGACTCTACTTCCACGTTTTACAACTTTAGATAATTTATAGGATTTTTTTTAAATAAAAAATTATAAAGATCATGTAACGAAGATTGAATCTAGGTGTACATGTTTTTAACTATTTCAATCCTTCTCCGTCCAATCACTAGCTTAACCCTAGTATTTTTATAAGACATGTTTAACTTTTATTTTATAAAAAAATTAATTATATATTATTTATTTTTCTTAAATACATTTTTTTATTATAATAAATTTATCTTTTACTTCTCTTTCAAACTAGTATCTTTAATTTATGAGGCTAAAAAAAGGTATTTTAATTTCTCAAATTATATAAGATATTATTAACATAGACAAATTGAGCTGGATATATAATATTAATAAGATTTAACGTCATGTTTCGACTAATTATTATTAGTGAGTGAATTATGTATGATATATTTAATAATAAGTAAGTTGTGTTATAAAAGAAATATCAGTTGAGATACAGCTTTAAGTAATTATAAAGAAATTAGTGTGAGAAGAATGCATTTATTTGGGTCTATATATATATAAAACAGTGAAACACGAATTAACTTGTATTTTATATTTATTTAAATATAAATTAGTTTTAATAAGAAGTGATGTAATATGACAATTGTATATTTTGTGCTCTTATAAATGGATTTATGGTAACCTTATACCTATTATAATACAATGTTTTCTTAGGAAAAAAAAATTACTTTCACGTTCTTGCACCTTCTTGTATTTAAATTTCAAATTTTCTTTGTGTCATTCTCAGCGTCTTATTCACTACACATTGCATTATCACCACAACTCTTTTCTACAAATCCTCTAACTAATACATGTTTTGTTCTTCTTATAATATTTCATATTTTCATCCTTTCCGCTCCTCTCATTCACTATGACGTGTTCACGTGGTATTGATTACGAAATTGGTGATCAAATTGAGTTAAATTATAATTAGTTAGCCTAACATTAATAAAATTGAGTAATTAACTAAAAAAAAAATCATTCACTTTTAATATATGTTGTATTTTTAAATACAAAACTTACTATTTTAAGTTGCGTAAAATTAGTTCTAAAAGCTCAAGGACCCTTTTATAATGAGTGCTCTAAAAAATTTAGTTAAACATTAATATATAGTTTTTTTTTTGAAAAATTATATTACAATAATATAAGCAATATTCAATGTTACACTTTTCATTTTTTTATTCTTGATTTCGTAGTTAGTATACTTGAGACATTTGTTAAGATTTTCTTTATAATATTATGAAATGCTAGATTAATTATTAAACGCTCCAAATGATAAAAACATTTTTAAATTGATTTAATTCAAAACAAATTTATATATGCATACATAATCATATTTATGAAATTATGTTACTAACCTTAGTTATGAATTTATGAAACTGTTTCTTCATAATTTCTCTATCTCTACTTTGTTTCGTTAGGATGTGTATCAATTTTATTTCAATGTTTATTTTTTATTTTTGAAGGGATTTTAATGTTTATTTAAAAAGAACATTATAAGCTTATTTTGAACTATTCTTTATTATGATTATTTCATATTTTAAATCTTATTTAACATTGAGTGCTTGTTTAAAGTATAACTATATTAATTGGAAAACAAAGTACAGTTATATTAGAAAAGGATAATTCTTTCTGAACTGCACTTAATCATATCAAATGAATATCATAATTGCTTTGGTAAATAAATAAATAAATAAATAAATAAATATATATATATATATTGAGTGCAAATTGACTGTGATGTCAATGTAAAAGTAATTATTGTTAGAATTTAAATGTGAATTAGAGTTCATCAAATAAAATTAAATATGTTGAGAAGTATTTAAATAAAAAAATCCAGCAACTGAATATTTTAAGATTTTGAATTAAAATATGATGTTAAATTAATTTGTGTGATTTGTTCACTGTTCATAAACAGAATATTTTTCCGTGTTTAACTCCATAATCCAACAATTATTTGTTACTTTTAAAAATCATGATAACTTTAACTCAAGACTAATCCAAACACTTTTAAAGTCAAATTTGATACAGTAAAATATTTAAATTGATATAAACTAAAGTAGAATATAGTTTTATGATGAGACAGCTTTTTACTCAAACTAATCCAAAAGACACTACGAAACAGGACCGAACAATAAACTTAGTTACTGTGCAATCTGGTTGGTCTACGACAAATGACGAAAATTGCCAAATTGGTAATTGGTTGTGTCAGGTATTCTCAGGTTTATTTCGCTTTTCAAACAGAACAACACTATGCCAACTGAAGGCATGTTTGTAATGACGATGCACCCTTAACGCATACATAACACAACAAAAGGGATCTTTTTGGTAACGTATACCTTGGTTGGAGGCTAGGCTACTAAAACAGTAATACAAACATGACATGTTCATATGAATTGGAATAAATCGAACTTTTAACACCATGTTGAAACATTCTTCGGTCCTCCTCCCCGAGAAATTTCATTTTCTTTTATAAACAACATTTCAAATGACGAGTTGAAATAATATTTTTCACAAAATATTTTGTTGATCACCCTTTATTGCCAATAATGCAGCTCCATAGGCAGCTTCTGTTTGATTTGCACGACGCACAGTCAAACCAAGCACCCTCTCTCGTATCTTTATCCACTTCTCATTTTTGGCTCCTCCACCAGCTGTGAAAACTTCCTCTACTTGGGTTGCTCCTAGCTCCTTTAGCAACCCATATGCCTTTGCCTAAAATACCATTCAAGAATCCTTCACATGGGGCACTAGTGGATGTGTGAAAATCCTACTTGTTTCCTCAAAAATATGAACAAAAACATTGAAATTGTTTGGATACAAGTTTAGAACAATTTTGAGAGCTTTTTTTTTATTAAAAATATATAAAAAAAAATATTTTATAGAGAAACTCTAAAATACTTTTAACCTTGTATCTAAGCATTCTCATTGTCTAAAATGAGTCAAGATTTTTACCTCTATACGTGCAATGGATTCTAAAATCCCATGCAAGTACTCAACATCATTTTCTGGACGAGGAAGTAGCCTGCCCAATAATTCAAACTCAGTCATGAGAATTGAGAAGTCTTGGTCAGTGGTGACGTTGTGGTGGCACAGCTAGCAGAACCAAATTTGGCTTTGTCACAAAACCCAAAATGAGCCAAACACTCAAGAAACCTTGAAAGTTGACTCTTTACGTTGAACTTGAGACATCACTTATCTTTTATAAAAGTTGGATGAGTCATCCAAAAAATGTCTTTGATTGATTAACTTGTTTTAATGAAATAATTGGCTTTTATTTTTGTTTACATTTTGGGAAAAGTTAATGAAGACTCAAAATAAGGTAAAATTTAAATGGGAATTGAGTTCCAAAAATGAAGTGTTCCAATGGAAAAGCAAATGGAATATAAAGCATGTTTAATTCACATCAATTTTGGTTGGATGTAGATCGGTGGAAGTAAGAATTAGTTGTTTTTCCATCAATTTTGATGTGATTTTTATTTAAATGTAGATCATGGATATGTAACCAAACATGCACTTAGTACCTTGGTGCCAAATTTGGATCTGCTACTGGGAATCTTTCACCTGCTTTTGGAAGAGGATAGTAGTCCAGAAGAGAAGGTTGAGAGGGATTGATCTGTTCACTCAGTTTCTCTAATTGATCATCGGTGAACAGCTGTCTAAGAATGGCTCCGCCAGTGTTTGAAGCGCCACCAACAAGCCATTTATCATCAAGGCGATGACTATACACCCCAAATCGAGAATCCTCAATTCTTGTGTTGCTTAGTAGTTTAATAGCTAGTGTTGAACCCAATGAAGTGACCTAATCAAGGACAGATATACAAGTCATAAAAAGCTATCATGACTTAGTTGCATAGAAAAGAAACATGATTTTCGAATGCTGAAAAAGATGGTTTAGCAGAAAGACTACTATGCAAAATTATAAATAGTAAATATTGGTACAACAAATTTTCCATTCTTGAAGCTAAACATTTTTTTGGGTGCTACACTGAATATAAAATCTTGAAAAATATGAAACTTAAAAGTTCTAATTTAATTAGCAAACCATGAATTTAAGTCAGCTTTCTATAAAACTGTAGTCGTCTGTTGCGCGATATGATAGATCAAGAATAAGCAAAGAAACACATAAGCCTAGTTGAAAATAAAAAAATAAAAATAAAAATACAGCTTTCCCAGGTTGAGTAGCACGAGCTGCAAGAAACGCAGCTATACTGTCAGTGGTTCCGGTGCATACAACACAATCCTTTTGGAAACCTGAAAGGGTATGCATTGTACATAAGATTTTCAACTTCATAGCAGTAAGCTTTTAATCAGGATGTTAAAGAAACTGATATCATTACATCACAATACATAAGAGACACAAAAAATAAAAATAAATAAATAAATAATGTGTTACTTGGGCACCAAGTTTATTGGCGGCCAAGTTGGACAAGCAGTGTGTCTCTACTATCAAGAAGGCACTAGAGTGAAGAGAAGTGAACACCTACATAAGGTTGTATATATCAAATTGCAAGGAGTTACACCCAGATAAGGTTTTCTAGGTATAGATTCTTATTACAATTTCAATTAATGTATTAAGAAAACATACCATATTTATTTCTAATGTCCTCCTTTAAGCAAGCAATTGGAGTTCCTGGAGCAACAACTGAAGGTAAAAGATGATAATATGGTTGACAGACTAGCCATGAAGGATATGATTCCACTTCAGGATCATAGCCAACCTGCAAAACATAAAACAATGTTATAATTGCGTCATTGTCATGAACCTCTGAGAAAAACACAGTGGTGACAAAGCTTTTTAAATGATGCCTTCAAAGCATTATTATAATCTGTAACTCCAAGCTTTCCATGAAGAAGCCACAAAAGCCAATCCGCTTGGTGCGACAACAGAGCAGGTTTTTTGTTTGAACCAACACGATTCCACCATGAGACGAGTTTACACAGAGTGGAAGACCCAGTGCAAACTGTATGGTTCTGAGGAGCAATAGATTTCACCATTGGTAGTGCATCAGGACAACTCTCGTTGTAAAGATAGGGTCTCCACAACGGTTCTCCTGTGTTACTACAACACCAAATTCATGATCCTACTTCAGAATTCATATATACAATCTTCAATTATTCTTAATTAAAACAAAAATTATAACTAAATGAAAGTTCTGATCATCCACCTATCCACAATGATAGTAGTTGCGGAAGTCCCATCCATGGAAATGGACACAACGTGTTGGCGAAGGTCAAGTGGGACATCTTCAAGCAGAGAAAACAGTGTCTCCTTCCACGAGCGTGCCCAATCATGTGACTCTCCACTCTTTCTAGACAAGAGAAACAGAAACCTCAGCCTACCATAGCAGTAGTATTAATGCTTAATACTGCAATTACTAATTGCACACATCTTTATTTCAGTGGAAATCCATTTGTTGTGGAATGAAAGTCTTAAACATATGTATGGTGGCGTAAATCAACTCTACAAAACTGATTTAGATGAAAATATTCCGTTATTTTTGCTTTATCATTGGTTGACTGGGGATCTTTTTTTTTCTTCTTCTTTTTTTTTCTTTTTCTAATACACATTACTCACCGTAGGTAAGGCTCAACACTATTAGACTGTGCAAATAAATGGTAGGTAACTTGTATGACAGATTCTGATATCAGCTTAAAATCCTAATAAAAATAACTTTTAAAATGAAAATTAAGTCTATTTATATACACGATTTTAACTTTTATTGCTATATCTTCTTCTTCTTTTTCCTATAGCACGTAAATCCTCCTGAAAATAATCCAGTTCAAATTCAGTAAGATTATTATTAGCGGCAAAACTCTTTGAATATTTAACATAATTGTGTAGCCATGAAAGCATTCGGATAACTTTATCTCTATATACCAAACAAACAATAATTTCCCCACACGCTAAAACCATACTATTTGTTGAACACATGCTATTCTAATGTTGAGGCCAGAAACCTATGGTAGGAGATTAAAAAGGAAAATAAATGATACCAAGTACAGAGGATACTCTCTCTTTGCCTCAGCCTGAATTGTCCCATCTTTGTCAATTATGGCAAACCTGGCACCGGATGTGCCAAAGTCCAACCCAAGATAGAGCCTTTCACCTGCTCCCACACTCACTTCTTCCTTATTATTATTTCCGTTTCCGAGGGACATTGATACTGCCCTTGATTTTCTTACCTTATTATATAACACATTCCCTGAAAATTGGTTCAAAGTTTGATTAGACTCTCACGCATTAGGGGAAAATTAAGTAAGTAGCAGTTGCTATGCTCATAGAGAAAGTTCATGTACCACGTTTTTGGATTGATGGCAAAGAAACTAAAACAGTGCTTGCTGGGTGGGTTAGTGAAATAGCTACTACCATGTTGCACACTTCTTAGCTCTTAGCTTTTTCTCCCATTCCCCGCGGATAAGGGACCTGAGGAACAAATAATGGTGGCAATTGGCAAAGCCACTCCACATAAAGAACTATAAAAATAACAAGAGTTAATCGTGCGGGCTTGCGCGTGTTTATTAAACGTTCGCATAGTTGAAGGCCCATTTACTTCATGGGCCATTTTGCCTAATACTGATAGGCAGATGATAAACACACCTCCACTCTTGTATGAACACACCTCCTTTTTTAAAAAATATATATAAAATGTCTAAATTATCCTTAAAAAAAAAATTCCTAAATTTATATCTCCTTCTCCGTATCTCAATTTTCTGCACCTCCCTTCTCCGCACCCCACACCTCCCTTCTCCGCACCCCACACCTCGCTTTCTCGCACCCCACACCCCATACCCCCTTCTTCCTAAACCTCTTTCCGCTCAATGGCACACGCATTGCACCTCCGCCGTTGATCTCGCCCTCGACACCCAGCTAGATACTTCGGCGTCGAACAGCTCGCATTGCTCACTCAGGTTTTCTTCTTTCCTATGTTTCATGCCTAGCTCTTCGGAATTCATACCCCCTCTGCTTCAGTTTTTGGGATCTGTGAACTACCCCTCCGCCGTGAACTACCCCTCCGGCCCCGCCGGGAAGACGCCGCTCCACATTGCGGCGGAGATGGTGTCGCCGGACATGGTGGCGATGCTGCTGGACTACCACGCGAACCTCGATGTAAGAATCGTGGATGTAGCAAGTTGGACAGTGGTGAGGACGAGAGAGAAGCCATGAAATGTAGCAGTAATTAAACCTATATATAGTTGCTCCTATTTATTATATATTGCGCGGAGAAGGGGGGTGTAGGGGGAGGGGAAGGGGGTGCGGGGAAGAGAGTGCCGCCTTCCCTGATTCCGATGCTGTTGAGCGGCGGCTGGTAGTGAAAGGAATTGACGATCTTGGCTTAGATGGCTTTGCTCCTGGGGAACATCATTTATTGATAGTCAAGGTACCCGAAGTTTCATGAGCAGACCATTATAAACATTCGTTGGAAAGATCTGGAAAAAATTCCCGGAATATATGAGTCAGAGTATAATGCCTAATATTTTATACTACTTCTCTTTTTACGGCCTGTGATACCGGAGCCTCAACATCCCTTGGCCTAAGAGGATTGCAGACCATAGGTTGTTTCAGGCAAATCTCAGCCACATCAATTTCAAAGTTTGGGTCACGATAGTCAGTGTCTTGGGAAGAAAGAAGCCTTCCTTTGCTTTGGGCCTCTTCCTTAAGCAGCCATTCATATCGTGTGGCCCCTTCGGAGAGGTCATAGAGATCAAGGAAAACCTCCCCCACAAACTTTGCTACGCCCTTAACTCTTGAACTACTTGAACAAGGAAGGCGGGGGCGCGTCTGGTGCTATCATATATAAGGGAAAGGTTCCTTTAGTGATCTATGCCTTATATATGCCTTCCTCACTCCTAAAAGGAAAAAGACCTAGCCTAATCAGACAATAACATAGTATATTTACTTTTTAGCGTTCCTACACAAATTTATGTACTTTCTATAACTTATAACAAGGCACACCATTTAACTTACCGTTACCGTGTAATACAATACAGTAGTAAATAGCTTGTGATTCGGAGTTGTCGACCCGTCATTTCCAGTCGAGTCAAGCATCTCCCTCTTCATCGCAGTCGTTCAAGACGTTGTATCGATGGAGTGACTGATATGATGCGTGAATGAGCCCATTGGGCAGCTTAAATGTCTAGCTAATGATCTTTAGTGGGCTGGACGGCCCCATTTGTCAATATTATTCCATTGACTCCCAAAATAAGATATCAAACACTTTACCATGAAATAGAGGAAAAGAAGAAAAAATTATACTGATGAAAGAACCCATCACGTGTTTCTAACGAATCTTACACGCTCTTGGTCCACCAATGCCCACTTTAATATTCCATTTTTTTAAAAGGAAAGAAAGGAATACAATAAATTGTAATTTTAGTCTCTATTTAGTTCTTAATTTATAATTTTTACCCCTTACTTTTAAGTCATCAGTTTTTGAAAAATGTATAATTTTGATCCAACGGTCAAATTTGTATATCTATAATATATCGATACATATTTTTCATGTGATAATTGTTATCTCACATACATGCAATAATGTGACAGTGTCGAATACTATGAATAACTTTTTTCTAAGTTTAAACAGTCAAATTATATAAATTTAGGAGATGAAACTGCCTAATGAAAAATAAGATCGAAATTACAAATTAAGAATTAAAGTAGATTAAACTGAAGCCATTTTCGGTATTTAGAAAGTTATATATTTTCTAAAAGTGATATGACCAGAAATAATATTTTCAGAAAAATATAAAATATGTATTTAGTATAGCATTAAAATGTCTTAAATGAACACACTCCTTTAGCAATGAATTTTTCTGGTGAATAGCCCGTTACACATTGGAAAGGAATCAAGGAGCTTATAGTTAGAGTCCCAGGGGCTTCGAATTCCACATGAAATTACTAGGAGGGTCAGGGATTACAAAAGAAAGGAAAAACAGGGAACTGTATATGGCCTTTGTTGTGCGACTTTGATCAAACCAATATTGCAGCGAAACATGAAACATGAAAGATGAAAACTCCAATTGGAATTTTGAATCACAAAACATTAGTACTACTACTCAAGTTCTGCAAGATGTCCCCACTTGCACGTGAGTCACCAGTAATTAGTATGATTCAATTAGAATTTGCGTGTAAGTTAGCGAGTTAGGTCATAGGTGTGACCTACACCTTCAATTAATAACTTATTAATAGTATTTGGTTAAATTGTTTGTCTAACAACAGTTTTTTTTTTTTTTTTCTTAACAAGAGGGGAGAAAACACAAACTCATTAATAGCCCGTCAGTCGCGTCTAGCCTTATATCTTGCAGGTCAAATGGGACGGGTTAGCCCGTCCGTCTATTTTTATTTTATGTTTTTTTAGTTTATTTATTATTTTAATATAAGTTTAATTAATTTACTTTATATTTATTTTATTTATAATTAGTGATTTATTATACACTAAATCTATTGTGTATTTATTTAATTTTATTATATATAATTTAAAATTTATTACCCAACAAATCAAATGAAATTAATTATAATTTAAAAAAATTATTATTTAGATATATTAATTCCTTTAAATATTGAAGAAAAAAATATGCTTTTTTTTTTGTGAGGCAGGTCAAAGTGTCTGACCTATTTTCGTCTGGCGTGTCAAGTCTAAATAGGTTAAACTAGTTCATTTTATCATTCTTAACTCTCATTACATCACTCTGAAACGTAGAACTGCATTATAAGGGAGAAAAGCAAAAATATTATTAGCCTGTTTAGATAAAGAGTTGAAAATGTTTTTAAAAATTTCTCTTTTAAAATGTATTCTTTATTTTTAGTAGAGAGATTCTTAAAATTATTTTTAACTTGTATTTAAATAGACTCTCTAACACAAAAATCCCCCAAAATAGTCATTCTAGCCATGTAATCTGTAATGCAGTTTGCTTCACGGGTAATGTCCGTGACCTTAACATCCCACTTCTGTTGCATAAGAAGCTAACCATAATGAACCAAATCAAAGAGGGGCTCTCCCCTCTTAGTTTCACACTTTGAATTTAAGTTCTTAAAAAAAAATTATTTCTAATCAACCATTGAAATTTATTTGCAAAATCTCTCTCTTGAGTAACTTTAGTTAATTTGTGGCTTATCTTTAATTAAGATCTAGAATTTACTCTAGTTTTCTCCTCCAAGAAACTACAAAATCTGATTATTTTTTGACTAATACAACTTTATATTAAATTAAGACACAATTTCATGCCAGATCAAAATTAATTATTAATCATTTTAATTTTTTTAATAAGATTGCAAAATATTTATTTCATCTCAATACAAATCCACATGAAAAATATATAATATAAGAAAAGTTAAATTCAATTTCGTATCCTAATTAATAAGAACAAATGGATTTAATCAGTTTAATTGAGTCATCCTTGTAAGAACATAAAAGCTGTATACATATATAAATTGTTTTCTTTTCTTATACTTTCAAGTTTCAATTTTTATATTAGTCTCTTTTTTATTTGACTATGTGTAAATGTGCAGATTTTCAATTTAAACATCCTTTTTGTCTAAAAATATCTTAAAATTTCAAATTCATTTTTTATTTATATTTTTTAAATTTATTTTCATCCAACTAACATAGTTTTTTTGTTTTCCAGCAACGTGAAGGTGACAATTAGGAGCTAGCTTGTTGTCACAGTCACAAGCATAGCCAAAAGAGGACCACAAGAAATGAAAAGGTTACCTCGTGCATGTGCCATAAAGCTAATTAACAACATCCACTCAAGGTGGAGTGGATTCTGCCAAAGTGAAAAATCAATTTCTTCGCTTTGTATTCTTTGCTCGTACTCTTTCACATGCAGAATATATTAACCAATGATGAAAAAGATGATAATATTTTTTTATTAATAATGATCATGAAAATATTGTTTTATTTCTTTGTTTCAAATATTTATATGAAAAGATAACATGTGTTCTCACTTCTCAAATTACATAAACTTTTGGCATCTTTGTTCACCTTCTCAGGTGGAAGATTCTTGTTAACGGTACATGCACGGTCGTTGGTTAGTTGAAACAAAACCATTTTTTTACTTTTCCTTTGAGAAGACCCCACAGTTACAGTTTATATACGTTTTTCTTTGTTCTTCTCATTTTTTAAGTTTACGAATCGCCCTCTGGACGATGATTGATGGTCTTTTAAATTGGAAGCAAAAATCATTTTTTTTCTAATAGTACTCACAATCAACATCTTGATTTTTTTTTTATATTTTATTTTGTTTAGCTATAACTATTTAATTATATTTAAAACATTATATCAGATATATCAAAAATATAATCTTTTATGGTTAAATTTCACATAATTATGGTCATTTGTTACTTTGGTTTGTAATTATCTTTCGCTTATTAAATATTTTAAAAGATACAAAATTTATATACAATATACGATCATGTCAATATCTTATTCCATTGTGCACCAACATTAGGTATAAGGTTTGTAAACTAAAGCTCTCTATTTCCAAATCTTTTATCATTAACATATTTTACTTAAAAAAAGTTAAGTAAAATGATTAATTGTGTTGTCTTTTGTTAAATTAGCTTTTATATATATA